GGGACCGGGCGAGGCTCGGTCAGGAGCCACAGCGCCATGCTGAGCAGCGCCAGGGAGCCCGACTGGTGCGTGGCAGCCAGCGGCGTGGGGACGTAGAGGAGCAGGGTGCTGATACCCAGGCCCACCTGCCAAGAAGGGAGAAGGGGTTAAGAGCAGCTGCGGGTGCCCCTCTGAGACACGCTGCCAGCACTGAGTATGATGTGGAAAGGCCCACAGCTGGATTTTCCACCCTCAAATTTTGACTGTTCGTGCAGAACAGTGAGGGTCCAAGTCCAGGTAGCTCCACCACAAAGCTCCAGGATCTTGGGGCTAGCACAGACCCAAGCTATGGACGGCTCTGTCTTGTCAATGTGCTACAAAGGGCTAGAGGGAGAAGAAAAACATAGGAGAAGAAAAACAAAACCAGACAGTACCTGCATGTAAGCCACAGCCAGTAAGGAAGTCACTGCCATCCTGGTCCTGCGAGGGAGCGGGACCTTCCGGGAGAAGAGGTACAGAGCAGTGACAGCTGTGACTGAGGCAATGCCCTGCAGAAGGGAAAGGAAACAACCACCCTTCGAGAAAAGTTCCAAGAAAATGGGTGCAATGGCCTTCTGCTGCACCTTCTGTGCAGCAAAAGTTCTGTGAGTGATATTAACTGCAGAAATGTGTCAATGGCCAAATCCCAGAGCTCCCATGTCCATTCCTGAAATTTAAGTTACAGAGTTCCTTTTTTATCCAAATCAATACTTTACTTTCCAATAGCTTTTCCTCATTTCTTCAACTCATCAGGGATTACTTCTGCCCCTTCTGTCACCTTGACAACTCAAGGTGGAAGGTGTTAACTGCAGAACTGGTCTCATTTTCACCACTCAGCCATAGCTCCCCTTGCTGGGCAGATGACTCCTCAGTCACTTAATCCTTCTTTTTAGTCTCAGCGATGGCTCAGTTCCCAGCAGTGCTGGCAGTGGTTTTTAGTATCTACATTGCTCTAAATAGCTGTTTTCACAGGGTGTTACTGGTGTAAAGGCAGTTCAGCAATGCCAAAGGAAGCACTCGACATAAGAGATTTCCAAGTTTTCTTTCACACAACATCTCAGTGGTGAGGGCTGCCCTGGTCTGCAGCTCACGTTATGGAAAGGGAGGCACAAGGAAACAAAGCCCGTAACTTGCGTAGGAGGAAGACGCCCTTAAGGAAGGAGACTGCACTGAAAATAAGTAAGTATCCTAAACTTCCTCTTTCTGCAGAAGCAAACTGGTAACACACTCTCAGGACCTTCAGACACCCTGGACATCCCTCAAACTGGCAGACGTGCAGCTCAAGGAAGACAGCTGGGCTGCCGGAGGCAACCAAGGAGCAGCAGACACAGCAGGAAGACAGCACTTACCAAGATCCTGTGATCAAACTGTACAGTTGTAGGATTCTCAAAGATATTTCTCAGCATGGGGGAGAAGGCAAGAAGATCATCTGGGATCCAGCGCTCCCCCATTTTGGGGAAGGAATTGTACACGAGGCCAGCATCCAGCCCTGCTACAAAAGCACCTGCAATTCCAGAGCAGAGGGTCAGACTACCAGAGCAGGCAGGGCTGGCGTTCCAGGCTGCACAGCTCTGACTCGAGAACTCAGTTTGATCCTGAATTTCTTTCAGAAACATACACAGAGATCACACAGCAACAGTCAGGCTGGAAGGTACATCTCCAACTGCTCACGAAAGACCAGTGAAGGAGGTTCTTGACTGTCAGGTTCCTGACAGCAAGTAAGTTTTCCCACAAAACATGGCAGGCTGCTCATAGCCCCCTCTAGACCAAACTAAAACAAGGCAGAGGAATGAGCCACAGGTGGGACAGCAGCAGGAAACACTCTTACCTGAAAGAGCAGTAAGAAAAATGAGAGCTGTAGTGCCATGAGCAAACTGTCTCAGGCGGAGGAGCTGATGGGTCTCAGGTAACTGTGAAACAATGTAAAAAGAGAAAATAATCAAGGTAAAGCACTTTCAGTTCAAGCTTTACTCTCAGCAGGTAAGAAAAGCCTTAATTGCAGATATGGGCCAAGGGGATGGCCTGTGTTTTACCAGAGGAATCTAGAGATCAACATGGAGCACAGAGGCAGTTCAGTGGTTCCTCAGAAACACAACTCATTAGGTCCAACCCTGGGTGGAAGCTGAAGTGCCACTGCACAATTACTGGCACAAACCATTCAGCCTGGCCAGGAACACCCTTGCCTGAGCCTGCATGAACTCTGAGAAGAATCACTCTGAGCGGAACAGCATGAGTCAAAGGAAGTGTCCCATCACCAAGAAGTTTACAGAAGGGGTATTTTGTAACACAGGAACAGAACAGAGTCAGAAAGGAGACTAAAAACAGAAGCACCATCACCCTCCGCACCCTTTCCTCACCCTTCTCATCACCCCCCCAAGACTCTGATCTGACATAACGCTGTGCTTGTGACAGCTCCACACCTGGTGTCGTGGGAGCAGCAGCGACAGCCCTGTCCACAGGCTGGCCGAGTACAGAACGAGGGCGGAGCCGAGGTGTGCGGCCAGGCGGTACTGACTGACCCGGGGAATGTCGAAAGAGTCTGGCTTCTCTTCCAGCCCACTCTTCACCATGTACCATCCCAGCAGTCCCTAACGAAACAGGAGAGGGGTTACAGCCAGACAGGGCAGCAGTGGCTGCTAAGACCAGACAAACATCGGGGGCAAAGCACCTCGTTCCCTGCACCTTCAACCAGCACTAACACCCCCCCCCCAGGCTGTCCCACATCTCCCTCTCTGAACCACACTCGATCAGATGCTGCTGCTCAGCCCTGCGGCCGCAGAGCTGGCTCACCTGGAAGCAGACCAGGCCACAGAGCGTGAGGACGCAGCCCTTCATGGGGCGGCTGAGCCAGCCCCTCCTCCAGAAGTAGGCGGCGGGCAGGATGTAGGCCAAGCCCACCGCGCGGCCCCACATGCGGTGCGAATATTCCATGTACCAGATGAACTTGAACTCTGTCAGCGTCATGTCGCGATTCAGGCTGTGAGAGACAGGGAAACACAGAACCACGGCGTGTGACGGGGCAGTCCTAGTTCCCAGGACAGGGATCACCTTCCTCAGAGAAAGGAAGAGACAGTGAAGGAGCCACCACCAAACACACTTCATGTGCCTCCCCAGCCATATCGGAAAGCATTTCCCTTTCTACAAGAGAACCCTGAGAGGCACAATTGTGAGAGGAACCCTCCCAGCCCACCCTCCTTCCAGCTTTGCACACTCACATTTTAAACTCCGGGAACTGCTGGTACTTCTGAAACTCAGCTTCCCACTCTTGCTGCGTTCTTGGGGGTTTCATTTCTTTTACCGGGTGCCAGTCAACCATGGCCAAACCCGACTCCGTCAGCCTGGAACAGACAAGAGA